GTAAGTGCAACAAGGAACTTAAGAATTTCTTGTGATCAAAAGCTTGTTCTGCCTCACTCTCTGTGTGAAGAAGGAACTCTGAAAATACTTGCACCGATGATGACATCGAGGGTGACAAATTGGAATGTATAATGCCAAATATCAAAAGTTCTGTGTTTTATCAATAGAAAAGTGTGATCCCTGTGCTAAGCACTACTGGACATTTAGCATGAGGCTTTGGCCCTTCAAACATGTCCAGTATGGATACCTTTAGGAATTTCTAACAGGATCCATTAGGCATTTTGCTTCTGCTTTTTGGGGTGTTCTTCTCATCCTGTTCAACACAATCATCTCTTCCGTTTAGCATTAGAAGATTGAAATTCATCAATTAGTTCTAGCCGGTGGTTACACTAACACTCTGGCCAGAATTCCAGACTTAATAAAAATACCCTTGAGATGGTTTTCACCTATTCCTTCAAGACAAGCTTCCTGTCACCTAACATCAGATCCTTTAATTCAGTGATTCATTACCATCATTAATAACAGTGTGAAGGTGTTTGTTTTCTAGACATGGTTAAATCCCTTTATTGTTCCTTTACTGTTCTGAGTTAAATGTGATGGTAATGACCAGAGTTATTAAACAATTCAAGCCAAGATACTGGATCAAATTCTTATAACAGTGAATAGGGTCTTGGAGGTATTTGAGTTGTTGGTTTGGAAGGTATTTTGGTCTACTGTGGTCTGATTTGAGATTTTTTTTTTCTCCCAAATTTGGTCACAATCTGAAGAGGCCATACCATATTTAATCTAATAATCTAAGAACAAGGGGCAAGGGATGCCACAGATCAGCCTTCCATCAGCTCCCATTGGGTCAGATTTGATAAAAATGATAGCAGCTTTTTCTTGATATGTTAATCTTACTGTATTGGTAGACTTCCTTAATTTTTTCTTTTAATATATTCATATATATATAATGTATGTGCTCCATGAATACATATTTTCATGTGTATTTGCATGTGGGCCAAAGGTCAAATTTCTGGAGTCTTCCTCAACTGATACCCACCTTTTTTTTTTGAGACAGAGTCTTTCATTGAACCTGAAGCTTGCTAATTCTACAAGACTAGCTGGCAAGAAAGCCCCAGGAATCCTCCTATGTCAACTTCCCCAGCATTGGGAATATAGGTGCACATGGCTTGTTCAGCTTTTTCACAAAATCCAGTCATTCTTACATGGCATACCTTTTAAAGACTAGGCTCCCTCTCTAACCTCCCTTCTTTTGCATTCCAGTCCAAAGCTTCCAAAAGATTATATCAATCCATAAGGGTAACTACTTTGATCAATTAAAAAAATCCTTCTTTGCCCAGTATAAATTATAAGAAAAAATAACACCAAAATGGTATAAGCAATACGGGAATGTTGTAGTATCATGTAGCTTTAGCATATCTTTAACAAAGCTGTCTGTACACAATAGAAGTACAAATTGCAGAAAAGAACACCTAAGATGATAATAAGTCTATGTACCCACCCTCTTGATGTAAAGACTTACTATTTAAAAAAATATGAGCTCTCGGAATCCACTTTGCTACAGGCCCCACTCACTATACTCTACCTTGTCACCAAAGAAGGAACAAAAGTAATATATGTAAACAAAATCTAGATTCCTTCTCTTGCCAGTAGCTCTCCCATTAGTCATTGCCTGTGCAAACACCCTTGAGCTATCTACTCCTGATGGATTGCTGACAAGTTTATTCATATTCTTTGTTAAGTACACAGAATTCTGAGGGCTTTGGAAGACATTATCCTGGGATCCTCGGGGAATATATGTAAAAATAAAGTTTTAAATTTCGTGTGTTCTAGCATGAGATAGGTAACTCATCTCAGAGTAAAGGAAATGGGGAAGTTTCCAGAAAGAATTGACCCTAGACTATAGTTAGTTGTCATCCATGTTACATTCATAGAATTCGTTCTCAAAATGGGCAAATTCACAGCTTACCTATTAATGGCTGATAAACCACTATGCCAACTATATTTTCTTGGATATGTGTTGGTGTGTGTGTGTGTGTGTGTGTGTGTGTGTGTGTCCACATGCACATGCATGCATGTGCATGCGTGCTCCAGCACATGTGTTCAGGTCACGTTGGGGTGTGTACACATGAGGCAAGATGTACAAATTCAGGTGTCACCCACATTTAGATTTGTTTTGTCTGATGCAGGGTCTCTCACTAGGACTTGGGCTCATCAACAAGCCTCAGAAATCTGCCTGTCTATACCCCCAAGGACCAGGGTTATAAGCATCTGCAACTATATCATGGTTTTTTTTTTTTTTCTTTTTTCTTTTTCTTTTGTTTTTTTTCCCAAGACAGGGTTTCTCTGTGGCTTTAGAGGCTATCCTGGAACTAGCTCTTGTAGACCAGGATGGCCTCCAACTCACAGAGATCCACCTGTCTCTGCCTCCCGAGTGCTGGGATTAAAGGCGTGCACCTTTCTTTTTAATATTCTTATTTCATTTTACATTCCAACCACAGTTCTCCCTCCCCTCCTCCCGGCCCTCTTGCCTCCTCCCACCCCCTCACCTTGCCCTTGACCCACCCCACTCCCCTCCTCCTCATGGATAAAGGCTCCCATGAGGAGTCAACACAGTCCGGCACAATAGATTAGGGCAGGGCTAGGCCCCTATCCCATGCTCTGAGGCTGAGCATGGCATTCCACCATGGGGAGTGGGCTCCAACAAACTAGCTCATGTACCAGGACAATATTGTGGTCTTACTGTCACTGACCATGGGATCCCACCCTAAGGAATGGGCTCCGACCAGCTATTTATTTATTTTAATCTGGGTCCTGGGGATCTAACTAATGTCCGCATGTTTGCAAAGCAAGCACTTTACTGACTTATCTATCTCCCCAGAATAAATATCCTTTTCTATATAAATGATAACTACTGAGAACATCTCAGGCTCTGAATAACTGAAGTGAAGCAGTAGATACTGGAAAATAACAGACATGACCCTGCTCATAGGAACATACTAGTTCAGGAAGTAATCAGCACAAAGAGGAACACGATCAAGTTGAGGACACTTCCTGTTCAGGAAAGCCCAGGTAAAGCAAAGAGTGTGCTTCTGTGCCTGGACTCTCAGTGCTGAGAAATCAGGCTGGGGCATTTCTGAAACCCATCAGCCCAAAGTCTAGCTGAAAATGATGAGCTTCATGTTTACTGAGAGAGCCTGTCTCAAAAATTAACCTTGGGAGGTGGGTGGCATCTAGAAAAGACATGTACTGCAAACCTCTGGCTTCCACATGACATACATGCATACACACCTGCTCACAGATATGCGCAGACAGCCTCACTAACAATTACATATACTACATACAACAAATAACACACATAGAGAAACAAGGTGAGACTCAGGAGGGAGGAGGGTAAGGCTGTAGATCTCCACCAAGGGAGGTTCTAATATGTTTGGAAATCGTAGGAGGGAAGGGCATTGGAACACATTTCCCAGTTCCTTCTTCAAAGAAACCAATTAGAGATGACTAAATCTGTCAATTAAGCTCAAAACTGTGGAACCCAGAGCATGGCTGCCAACTCCTGAAATGCTATGGGGTCACTATGTGGTATGATTCAAATTGTTGCTCCCAATCAATCTTACCCTCAATTTCCTCATCAGCAAAATCGGGATAACCTCTATGTGACTTGCAAAGCACAGCTAATTAACATTTATGACAAATGAAGAATTATATAACAGGTTATGTAAATGCATAATAGCACCAAGAACCAAGCTGCTTTGCCTGTAGCATTTAACTTGAAAAGAGATCTGAAAATACAAAAGAAAAGAAAGAAAACCATGGATGGTAAAGACAAAATAAATAAACAAGTGAAATTGAAAATGCTGTTGAGGACAGAGGAGGGCAAGTGGCCCCTTCCCCTCCCCTAGGCTGTCTAGAGGTATGGAAACTCTACAGTGGCATACAATTTTATTTTATAAACATTGTTCCAAACCCTCACAGTTTATTCTAGACAAGCAACGATGCTGGCATCCACTACTTGAGAGGATTCATGAAATCAGGCAGCTATGATAAGTATAAAAACCCCTTGTAATACTCTACTGAGGTCATGTCATTGTTGTCTTCATTGTTTTGAATAAAGGTCATTCATTTAACACCCGAATCTCTTCCATCATACTTTCCAAATGCTTACACATGATATTTGAGCATTTATATTTAATAATTAGAAAAAGAAAATGTGATTCAATCTGGTACAAAAAAATTCAAATGACCTTGGGGAAGTTATAAAAAAAAGATGATTCGAATTCAAGGAATTCTTTTGAGCCTCCTGTCCTACTGTGCCTCACTAATACTCTGTTATTATCACTGTTAACTTCACTCTTTCACACTAAGCAAGTGGGGGGGGATGTTTCTCAGAGAGAACCATGGACTCCTCAAGGTCACAGTGGTAGACAAGCTAAGTAGGAAAGATTTGCAGGCAGAAACAGGAGATTTGTGCCTCCTACTTTTGCCTCTTCACAGTTCTTTGAATTCTCTCTCTGTCTCTCACTGTCTTTCTCTGTCTCTGTCTCTGTTTCTCTCCCTCCAGTGTGTGTGTGTGTGTGTGTGTGTGTGTGTGTGTGTGTGTGTGTGTGTATGTGTATGTGTATGTGTGTGTGTTTGGGTGTGTATAGCTTGTGGAGGACAGAGGTCAACATCAAGATGGCATTCATCAGGTTACTGTCACCTTGTTTTACTGAGACAGTATGCTTCTCTCACTTGGCCTGAAAGTTGCTGATTTTGTTGGGCCAGCCAGTAGGGCAATAATCTACCTGTTTCTGTCTACTCAGCAAGATAATCACCACACTGAACCACCACACTGTTGCATGGGTTATGGAAATTGAACGCAGGTCCTCATCACATGGCAAACATTTACCACACTATTTCCCCAGCCTACTTTTGAACTTTGATCAGTCACAATACTGGTTTTCTCCTATGAGATGTGGGTGCAGAGATTCACATTGTATGATTCTTCTTTTAAAAATATGGAATGCTTCATTAATTTGTGTGTCATCCTTGTTCAGGGGCCATGCTAATCTCTATATTGTTTCAATTTTACTATAGGAGTGCTGAAGAGAGCACCATTGTATTGTTCTTATTCTCTAAGTGCATCTCCGAAATGGAGAAGCAGTCTAACATGATGCTATGCTGCTTGACAATTAAATAATGGTATCTCTTAACAGGTCTTTGGATGCATAGAGAGCAATGGTAACAGCTAGGGTAAGAATATGTGAGTATAGTACAGACATGGAAAGGTGTGTGGGCAAGTTATCCTCTGGATAAGTCACATTCTCCATAGAGTTTCACCAGGAAATAGGAATATGCTTGATTGTGGAAGTAAAAGTTATCTAGGCATGAAGGTTGTTGTGGATGAAATGAGAAATGTCTCCTCTAGACTTGTATAGTTGAACACTTGCTCCCCAGTTGACTGTGTTTGGGGGATTATGAAAAATTTCATTGGGTATTGCTGGAGGGAGTAAGTTACTGGAGTGGATACTGAGAATCTATAGCCTTCTTATCTCCTTTTTCAGTTCAGTCACTCATATTCCTGTTTGTGGTTGAGATGTGATCACTCAGCTTCCTGCTCCTGCAGCTCCCTTTCCACTATTATGGAAATCTAGCCCTGTTATATAGGTTGCGTTGGATCATGGTATTTTATTAGAGCTACATAAGTAACTGACACAGTGGCACACACCTGTAATCCCAGTGTCCTGGAGGCTGAGGCAGAAGGATATCAAGTTTAAGTCTAAACTGGAAAACATGACAGTAACTTGTCACCAGAAACAAAGAAACAAGGAAGGGAGGAAATAAGGGAAGGGAGAAGGGGAAGTAATGAGTAGGGGGAGGAAATAGAGATGGAGGGAGAAAGGAAATCAAAATATTCATGTTTTGGTATAGTCTTAACTATCAGAATGCATAGCTATTAGATATAACAGCTTTAAAATACTTAGGCAGGAATAGGGAATCTGCATCATTGGGTCAGAGCAAGCCAAACAATCAGAAGTTTTATGGAATGTATCTCAGAAGTCTATTATTTAAATCTGAATTCCATACTTGCTTGTCATCTTGATATTTTTGACAAGTGCGTGTAAGGATTTTTGACAGTAAGGAAGTTTCCAATATATTTTTACTATATAAAAAATAAATGTAAAATACATAACTGTGTTTCTAAATTGCTACTGTTTATTTTAAGAAATAAAACATTCATCATCTTAAAACCCTGCACTTCTGAACACTGATTGCTATGTGCTAGGAGTGAGGGTAGCAGCGCAAATTATAGTCGATTCTGCAGCAGAGAGAGAATGCAGCTGTTTTTAGTTCTGCTTCTGCAACATCCATGGTGGGATTCAGAATTTACTGAGAGCTGGCTTTTCTCATTTTACTGGCAAAGGAATTGTAAGCTTAATTACTCTCAGGGGTCTTCTGTAAATTATTTCCATATATCTGGAGAAAGAAGAGGGCAGAAAATAAACATTCAGCATCATTTTCTTTTAATGAAGAAAAAAAATCACCTCCACTGAACTGTGTTTTCTACCCACACCCAGATCTTTTCTGGGGTTCAGAAGGGCAAAGAGACACTTCCTGATTCTTGCACACATTGCTTATCTCCTGAAAGCACTTTCCTCTCTCTCCTTTTGCCCACTCTCCACCTGGTACATTCATTCCCCTAACCAAGCATGCCTGACCATCACAGTTCCTTTTTCTCTTCATCTCTGTCACATTACTGGCATCTGCATGCTTGGAGATCCCTGTGATCTTCCACCTTGCCTTCATTCAATGATGAACATTGTAACTTCTGGAATAATCATGGAGACAACCGATAGTAAACTAATACATATTTCTCCTCGAAAGGAGGACCAGCAGCATAATCATATCTGACATTTATTGACTGTTTTCTCTGCCGTTTATTTCATTTAGACCCCTTACACACACTTCAAGAAGCATTATTCTAAGTACTTGTAATGTAGATCTGGCCTGATATGACAGCAGCTTCCAGCCAAACTCAGGCTGTCTGACCTCAGAGCTCACTCTTATGCACTTACCATGTTTGCCTTCATGAGAATGTTGGGACATGAGGGGGAGAATAAGTAGTGTAATTTAAACATGAAAGGAAGGAAAGAAGCAGGGAGGAAGTGAAGAATGAGAGAGGGAGAGAGAAAAGGAAGGAGGGAGGGAGGCAGGGAGGAAAGAAGAATGGATCAGGAAGTGTGTCAGCTATCCTTCACCTTGTCTTTGGTCACCTCAACCAATGAAATAGGAAATACAATGTTTTGACATGTGATTCTCTCCTGGAGTTCAGGCTGACACCTAAACTCATATTTTATATTTGAAGCCTTGATGCCTTAGTCAAGTGCATAGAAGACATCAGCCAGAGTTAATGTCAAGTTGTCTTATAAAATTAGCTCAGTTTGAGGGAGCAGTTTAGACTGACACTGTTCAAAAGGTAGGCAAAGGCAGTAGCAGTGAGAGTGTGGTCCTGCCTGGTTCAGAGAGGCCACCTTGATGCTCACTTAAAAAGAGCTCTGAAGCTTTTCCAAAAGCAACCCCACTATGGCAATTGTGTGGGAGATGTTTGCATTCTGCAGAGAACCAGCAATCCTGCTGAGGAATTATATGGTTAATGCACTAGAAAAGCCTTCATAAAATGGCATTTCCTTTTCCAGTTTTGCAGCCTCCCACACCTGTGCTTGCCAGGTTCTTGTATGAACACAATGGCCTCACTGGCACCATCGGATTTCATTGCCAATGAAAAAGCAACAAACCATGTCATAACCACCCACCATCTCTTTGAAACCCACCCAACTGTTTGGACATTTCAACCAAGCATAGCATCTCCTTTATGTCACAAGGAGGCCAGGTGGCTGCAAAGCAATGAATGGCATACAGCCCATTCTCCTTCACCACCCTTACAGTGGTGCTTACCTCCCTTGTACCATCTTGTTTTTTGTCTTTCTCTCTACTCTAATTGAGACTACTGTGAGTACATATGAGAGTGAGATACTTTGCTTTCTACAGAGCCAGTTTTAGATCTAAAAGGACCTTAAAATAAATATTGAGCATTCTTCAGCCCTTGTAGCTGACTGAATAGGAAATGATGGTATAGGGAATTATGTATATAATAGATAGTATGAGGTCATGTTTGCTCTTACTGGTTTATCACTCAGTGATAGATAAGTTATCCTTCAGCACTCTGGACAGCTCATGGGCTTATTTAGTGGGTTTTTGATTGTTCGGTTTTGTTTTTATTTAGAGCTTTTTCATTTTTTGTTTTTATTTAGTGGCTTTGTCTTTGGGATCCAAAACTACAGGAGTAAAAATTCTCTTATTATCTTGGGCTGCAAAACACTAATGGAGATTCAGTAAAATCTTTAATTAAGCACTAAGTGCTGATGCATAGAATCTGAAAGAAGCTAATGTTTGCACTTAATATTAGCATTTATTTTCTTCTAATGAACATCAAAGTAGGTACACTGCAGCACAAAATGGTAAGAGATAAATGGCTTCATATTAGAAAACAGGAGGCCTCTTCTGAGGACCAACAAATAGGTGATACAGGCTGCAAGGGAAGAAAAACAGTTTAACTGCAAGACAATTTAAAACATCAGTTCTTGGGGTAGGGAGATGGCTTTGTAGGAAAGCATTTGCATGTGGGAGGACTAAACTTCCTATCCCCAGGCTGGATGCATAGTATGAATATCCGTAATCACAGTGGTCCCACCGCAAGCTCAGAGATGAAGACAGAATCTTCAGAAGCTTATAGGCCAGCTAGCCTGATGTAAGCTGTGGTGAACATGAGACCATGTCTAGAATGAGATGGATGCTAAGGATTGACATTGCAGGTTGTCTTCTGACCTTTATATGTGCACCATGGCATGCTTGCACCCACACTTAAACAAACATACAAACCCACATGCAAACACACATTGTAAGATAGTAGTACGTTTATACATACAGACGCTCTATCTGTTGCTAGGTCCTGGGCAGAGGAACAAATAGCACAAAAATTTCCAAATAGACAAACATTTTTCAGGAGTTCATACTAAAAAAGTAAGGAAGAGGATGAATAAGAGACATGACATAACATAACATAACATAACATAACATAACATAACAACATAAGGTAAACTGAAACTTGACACCAATATCAATTCAGGGACAATCTACATGGATTTGGTGGCTTTGACTGCACAGTAAGCTAAGAACAGAAGCTATCAAAAAAAGAAAACAAAGAATTTTTTAAAGCCTCAGAATCATCATTGGCATATTCTTTGATTATTTGGAGGCCTGATTTGTATTACATAAAGAAGGTCTTGGTCTGAGCTCTGGAAAGAACTATTTCTTGAAAGCTTTAACTCAGAAGTCTAATTACAATACAGATATATGAATGCTTGGGGAAAATCTTTTATGTAAATTACTGTCACCTAATATTAGGCTAAGCCAGTAAGATAAATGCACATAGTGAATGCATCCGAATTTTCAGAACTGAAATGACCCATGTCTTCCTATCTGACAGCATTTCTTATAGCATGTAAGATGTGTCTATATTATTACCATTTAGGTTAACACTACAGAAGCTTTGGAACTTCACAAGTCAACAGCTAATTTGACTTACTAGTGGCAGAAAAAGAAAAAGAAACAGTCCTGACAGATGTATCCCATGAAAGCAAAGTGCTGAAAATTAAAGAATGCCTAGGATGTTCCTGTCAGTTTACATTTTCCTCACAAAGGCCTTCCCAGAGATGAACAATTTCAGGGTGTTCTGCTTATAAATAGGCTACCTCCCAGATGCTGAGCTGAGCCAGAACCCAAAGCTTACTCCAGGTTTAAAGACTAATGAGAATGGTAAGTCAGGCCTGGTTAAAACTGCCCTCACTTAAATTAAACCAAAAAATACCATTCAAGAGACACACAGGGGACCAGGATGAGTAAAAGAGGCTGTCTTTCCAGATATTCAGGAAGAACCAGAAATGGTCCCACAGTTCAAGGAAAATAAGTTGTTTCATTTAAAGCAGTTCAGATCCTCTGGCTGGTTCACCAGAATAGAAATATGGCTGCCCTCAAACACCCATTTATTACCAGCC